ATTTCGCATTAGGACGCAGTTCACGCTGACATGAGTATGCATATTTGTGCCATGATGCGTTCCTCAAAATACGGTGTTAAGGTTGTATCTGAGAACCGCTTTTTTGCAGTCATTGTCATTCTTTCTCGGGGTCGAAGTCGCTCCGTCTACTACACTGTCTTGCTGTTGTAGTGCAGCGGAACATACTGTTTCTCCTTCGCTTTCGTCTTAACCATTTTCAATTTTTCGGAACTGCATTTGTTTGATTGTTGGTCCATTTGGTCACGATTTGATCACGTGGTTCGCCAAATGACGAGATGCACGACCCACAGAACTTCCGGTTTAGTTTTGCACTGAAACATCCAGTGATTGTTTTGTTGAATGGTAGGTGCTTCAACTTGCAGTGAATAGGTTCTACTGTTTTTTGAGTCTCGTTCTCGTCTGGGGGTTTCTGATCTAGGAAGACATGGAAATCGAAAAATTCGTGTTTTCGGAGATTACCTTTCACCGAGAGCGTTACACAGTGGGATTCTGTTCTCAAGTAATTCGTTGCACCGTTTTTGAACAATCACTTAAGATTCCAACAGATGCGTTGGACCAGGAGAGTTCTCGCCACTTATACAAATATTTCCAAAATTCGGCTTTTATAGGATCTGTTTTAAGCCGTTAAGAGAGAACTGGTTAACTACTACTCAGACTGTTATTCTCCGGAAGAGCTAACTCTGTTATAAACCCAGTGGCTTCTTCGCTTTGATTTTGTCCGTCCCCGTCATAACTTCATGGATATAGATTGTGCTAATACAGTATTCTAGCTGATTACTCGGGAAGCTATCTGATAAAGGCAAATAATTTCAATTCCTTCAGTAAGTGCGGAGGGCTTTTAGAACGCAGTGCGTCACCATTTTGTGGATAGTGAATTGCCACGGTAACCAGTTGCTCCACTGTATTGTCGATTATTGAATGCTGGAACACTCCTGTCGGATCTGATTGAAATTTCGTGAAGACTTCGTGTAATACGACCGTTTTTTAGAATCCATTGAGAAGCACTTTGTTTTACGCTGCTGTGTTGTGTGCATAAGTGTTTGTGAAATCTTTCCCGATTCATTATGCTGTTCGATTTTCTAGTTTCAGTCGAATGCGGCGCCCCCTTAAGCTACGGCGGTTGTTGGTACTCAATTAGCGTGAGTTTTTCATAACAGAGCAACAAAGTAGCTCAGTGGTTAGGACCCAAACGTACTAATTGGAATGTCAATATCTCGAACTCAACGTCGGTAGTTCGGTTACTGTCGGGGTTTAGACAACTTGCCAGTATCTCGGCCCTCGTGCTTTGTTTGGGTAGCACGGTAGCTATTCACGGAAAGGGTGTTACAGCTGAATGGTTGTTGCTGCTATTCTTGTTTCACGGACGTATGCTGTCGTGTACTATGGTCGGTTTAAAAGCCTTCTGCCTATAGATAGGGCAGCAATGTCTGGTATGTTTCCCTATTCTTTTTTGGTACTCTATCCTCCGGATAGGTCGTCTTACTCAATGACCGCAAGAATTGCTAGTCAAATCTAAATGAATCTTCACGTGTTGGTTGATTTGTTTTCAATTTTGGTAGGAAATGTTGGTTACAGTCATCCGTTGAATTTGATATCCTGAGACACCCGTACGTCACAAAATGTTGGGGATCGTGAGGAAGCATGGGCCTCGCAAATAACATTGCGAACTGACTACTATAATTGTATTTTATCGTCGATTTTATTATTGATCGCTCGTAATGTTGGCGCAAGACTGTTCTGATACATGGTGATGGAAGCATTGCGTCCCTAAATCAATTGCCAGATCATATCTCAATTTGGCATTGGTTGCTTTCTCACTGCCCAATTTCATTGTCATCCTGATTCAACAATTTTACTTGCTGGATCCCACAACTATGCTCACATGTGATTCCGATCCTTCGTATAAGACTAAGTCGCACTATGAAGTCACCAACCTAAGGCCTTTCCAGGGGAGGAATTCGGCACTCAACGCATCTTATCTATAGAGGAATAAAAATTCTGCCGTATCATAGGTTGTTGGTTTTAGAGGGGAGTAATTCGTACTGTACAGTGAGTTCTGATAAAAAGAGAAGCATTTATTGGTGCTTCTTTTGCATGGACATTTGAGTCACATCTGTAGGGGTAGGAGGCGATGCGGGACCTGCGGCGACAGCAACAAGCCACATGACAACAGCACAATTAGTCATTAGCTACTTGGACCCGGTACCTGTCGACCAATCACCGGAGTATTTCGATGTGTACAGCTGAAGGTGAATGCAGGTCAAGGTCATCTAGATAGCAAGTTTCACTTGTTTCAGTCAGGATTCAGATACCTAATCTGGAGCATTGCAACCAAACTACTGCCAGGTGACACAAGTAACTGAGGAAGCAAGCACCCGTTAGATCAGTCGTAGTGAAGCGAACTTGAACAACCGATGCAAGGTTCGAAAAAGCGTCCAGCATGATTGTGCGGTAATAGGAGCCGTGTAGTTTTCCTCATTAGATCGAAATTTTCAGTGGACTGAGGTATTTTTCTCAATTGATTTCCGGAATCACGACAAGAGCTCATACTCCCATTAGGTGCTATAGATTCTCTCCAAATGTCGAACTCTATGAGGGGCGAAGTGATGAAGAAACTTTTTGTATCCGATTTCAGTCAAATTACTAATTACTTTCTAGCCAGGTGCTAATATCTTTCTATAACCAGTGGGTCTTCATTTTTCTGCGGCACCTGCTCTTTGTTGGACTCAAGGTCTTTGTTAATTGATCGTTGTCTTGGGCGTATAAACGATAAATGCGTTTATGGACTGACAATAGAAGCCCATGTCTCAGATTGCCCATACCACATTCTCAAGATTTAAACTTCTTGTGCATTGGCTACGTTACCTCTCCTTAATGTCCACTATCACTCTGGCGTAAAATCTATAATAATAGTAGAAAACTACAATAGTATGAACCTGTTACTTAAAGTTTTGTATTGGTGATAGTTTAAAACATTTGAAAGCATACGGTCTGAAGGAGTGGGAACTGCACTGTACGAAGTTGTCGGCTAACAGTTTTCAATTTGTGACCGTAACTTTCACAAATCCGAGCGGTTCAGTTTCAGTGATCTTAGCGATACTACTTACTACAGCCGACAATCAAGCTATCCAGGAATCTCAAGCTCGCATCAGGCGGTTTAGGACATAAGTTACGTGATATTGCACAATATGATATTGCCTTGAAGGTACTTTTGCTGTCTGTACTATACCTTTCGATCCTAAGAATATCTGTATCACCCGGCTGTAGCCTAGCGCTTTCGGATTCATGAACTTGAGATCTGAGAAGGCGTTGTACTGGGTACTGGTGAGTGAATGAATAAGGTAAAATAAGCCGGCGTTACTTTTAACCTTTGTTCGACTGAACGACAGGCAGTCTCCAGTATAAAACTTTCATCCGGTTTCGAACATCCGTTTTATGTCTTGGGAAGTAGCTCGGAGCCAGTCACAGCCGTCCAATGAATGAAGGGGCCAGGGTATTTTCAGAACTTGACTTCCAATCCGGTTACTGGATGAAAGTCACATCCATAAAGTGACCCATTTTGATTATTCGAATTTAGGAAAACGCCTTGTGCGCCGGAGCCAGTTTCTCAATGATCGCTGGTTGCTGACAAGTGTTTCATTCGCACTTACTCATTTACTTTACTTTACTGTAGTGGACTCCTACTGGAGGGTGAGCTGTATGTATACCACGTACCGTAATTTTCTCATACTTGACGATCTACGGCAAGGTCTGCAACACGGTCATGTCCCCAACTCTCAAGTACGCGGTTGTACCGTAGTAACTTTCTGGTATCTGGAAATACCTAGGGTCTTTGCTTGCCGTGCAATCCGTCATATCGGTTTCTCCGGTTTATGCTCATGCATTGTGTCCAGATGGTATTTGCGAGCCACTTTTTCTAACACTCAGTGCTAACACAGACTCCTGTGACCCTCACGACAAGGGATGTTCTTTTAGCCCAGTCTTGTTCTGCTATACTGGTAGTGCTCATAGTTCACGGCGTTCGCTTTCAGGACTGCTAAATGGAAGTAACAACCAATTATCGCGGTGCTGTTGCTATGTTAATCAATGTTTTGATTTGGTGTGTGTGAATCCCACCTTGTTTGATGCCACCAGTATGTCTAGAAATTGCTTCTCCCCTTTCTTCAGTTGATTTGGCAAAACATTTGCTTGCCATTTCCAGCCGGTGTTGTTGTTTTTTTTAGCTATCGCCACGCCCTTAAATCGACAATGTGTTCATTCCGTAGGTGTCTCCTACTCGGTTCTCTCTATCCCCTTGCCTGTGGAAATTTTGGTTCTGTAGTTGTAGTGGTATACTCCCTGCGAGTTATTCTCGGAAAACAATGTTAGATTACACATCATCGGCACCGTAGCAACAGCTTCATCAGCATTTCGTTATCGCCTTAATGCACAATCTTATGTACATGCGTACACATCCGATATGGTCGGTGAGGTGTTGGAGGGAGATTACTGCATTGGACCAACACATTTGTTGTTCGGTGCGTGTGTTCATTTCGCACCCTATCATTGGTCCACTTGTTAACGACTTGTTCCATGTTCATTCACCCTTCGATGCCATTGCGTCGATCTTCGTGTTCAAATTCTCGCTCACCCCACGTGATTCAGAATGCATTAACCATCAATGTAGATAGTCGTACTGTAGGTGCGTACACTACTTAATGTCAAACAGAGTGTCCGACCTAGCGCACGTTGATTGCCATTCGGCTACGTGCTGCTGCTCGCACTGTCTCTTCGTACGATTATGATTCACACATCCGACTGTGACAAACTATTCGCCTTCAATTGGGCAAGATGGCTATTCACTCTTGGTCTACCTCACTGCCCTTGTCCACTTTGTCTTTCCTCCTGGATGTTCCTCCCTCCTCGTCCTCCGGCACCACTTCCTAATTCTCCGTTCCGTTCATCTGTTCCCAACTCAAATGCTCAATGGGACTCTGAAGAAAGAGACAAACGACCACCGGAACAAGTGATTCGTGAAGCGATTCAAATGCGTTTGGAGGAAGCCTACCCCAATGTGTTGTCTATGGAGGACCTAGTCCGGTAAGCGGTTATCCACCGGTTTGCAAGTGACTTCGGTGCCTGTACATTCTCTGGTCTATACTTATGCATCATTCCTGTACGTTACAAATTTCGGTAGTATTGTCTTGCTTTGGTGGATGTTATTCGGTCCCACCGAAATCAGTTCCAATCCAGTCACAATTTATTCCCCTCAGGTCTCTATCTCTAGCTAGTTCCCTCAGTGTACCTTGCTGTCTGGTTTCTGCCGTTCCATCCAATGCACTCTGATTGTGTTTCTTACGTGTGTGCACCCACTGAACAGTTTGTGATTAGATTAGATTGATCTGGCCTAGTTGTCTGAAGGGAACACGCACACAAACACACATGTGGCACCAAACACGCTTAAGTAATATTGTTTACCTCGGGAAAGTTTAGTCATTCTGGTGAAGAAAGAATGTGAAAGCGTGATTCTGGTTGCGGGACCCCTTGGTGCGTCAACCCAAATGTTGGAATTCTGTTTATCGCCTTCCACAGACAGTGGTTTTCTTCGTACCGTTTTAATAGACGAACTGAGTCACCTGGCTAGTTATTCATGTCGTGCTATACAAGTGACGATCAATCAACTACCCTTATTCGGACGATAAAATAACGAAAACTCACTCGTCACACACGTTGTATTTAGACTTTGAAATCTCATCACAAGCTCGGTCTGCGGAAGTGTTTCCTGTCATTGAAAACACGAAATGTTGTTTCATCGTTGTTCGGATAGCTTTAATTCGGGTAGAAGCATGTAGTTTCCTATATCGGGGTAGCTAATCTATACTATTCCGACTAGTGACTGTGTTTCGTTTCCTTGTTACTATTGGTAAACTTACGTATGCATAAACACCAGCGCCCTCTGTAGCTTCTAGATTGGCAGTCAATCTAACTGATCATTGATAGTCATGTACTTGGCGCGACCAAACAATCGATCGTGGTGGTTGCCAGCTTGTGTGTCTGAGACTTAGCCGTGCCGGTTACGTAAACTGATTGCACCATTTGGGTTAGCGGCCACTGGGTCCGAAAGTGTGCAAACCACAAACCCTCAACTAGGGATAACCCCGGATTAGGGATTTATTGCTATATCCCTATAGCAATATCTCTCTAACTCGAACAAGGGATGAAATATGGAAACCTTTCAAGGAACAACGTCGTGTCGTGTCGAATTTCTGCTTCGTGAGTTTCTAAGTGAATAAATTCAGAGTGCGACGATTTGGTAGTGACCAGTTCCACCAAAAACATTGTGCAAACACAGCATTTGGTCAAGACCAGTCATATTTTAAGTTGACTTTTTTGTACCAGGCAGGTGTCCTCAGGTTCTTAAACCAAGAGTTAGTTTTGTAACTGGTCATCAGGTGCACAAAACTAGGACGCTTAAGACGTAGAACTTACCTAAAAAATCATCTTTTTGTCTACGTATTGTGTCTGAATCAGACTTTTGTGAACCACTGGAGGTTTAAAATTGCGCAGCTGAACCCAAAATGATTAGCTTATTAGGGTAGCGGCAACGCGATAAACGGACAAGCCATATGTCGAAGCAAAACGTGAATTACAGGATAAGCTTGGGGATATTTTACCTAGATTTAGGTCAATCACTCTTGTGACAAGGCACTCTTGGCCGAATAGCATAGTGGTCAGCCATCAACCGGAAAGTGACTGATTTGAATAACTCTTGAGATTCGTGAGATGGGCACTGTTGGTAGTTCGCAACAGGCATGAAATGGCTGTACGATGCTTTTTGTCTTTTCGGTAAAAAGCGACTTCATTTGCGGGAGAAAATTTAAGTCCAAACATGCATTCTTTTTTTGAAGTGTCAAAAAAACGTTTGTGTGAGTAACGTTTGAAACAATGTGCTTTAGAACGGAATACCGTCCTGCTTTGAGCGGCGTAGGTCTTTTTGAGTTACTATCGATTGAACTTCTCAGTTGATGGTAGAGCTCCAAAATTTAGTAGAGCCTCGGCAAGTGTCCACTCATTGGCTACCGGAGTTGAAAAAATATTCATTCTACATCCGTATATTCTTCTGGTTTAGTGAAATTTCACTCCATGAGGATTACAAAATAGGGTGAATGCTTGATACCGTGCTAGCGACTCTCGCCATCGAACAGCTGAAGAGGAAATTGCATCTCCAGCGTTCAGTGATGTGACCTAAATATCTTTAGATGATTATATACATTTGGTGCTAGAATGAGAACAGCTAGCCGAACAGCGACAGCTACAGAGGAATGTCACGTTTACTGGGTTTCTTCAGCTTAGTACTAACCAACGATGACGTTCACTCAGAACCGGGCTGCGCTGTTAATAGTTAATTGTGATTTAGTAAAACAATCATGTTTAATTTTACGTCATTCGGGCCCCAGTGCAGAGTGAATGATTTTGCATGAGCCGCGTTCACTCGCAAAAGCCGCTTTAACTACGTGACCGATACTTACCACTAACAAGTAGATAAGGAGCTGAAAAGTCACATGAGTGTATTTTTGTAGAGTCGTATGCTCCGTGTGATAACGGTGATTGTGAATAGAGTTGCATTATTTGTTCCAGTTTTTTCGTAAACATTCACAAATTCAGCTAGAAAATGACAGTTTCGGATTTTCAACAAAAGAAAACAGATAGTAGGCTGAGGTGGACCACCCGTCCGGAATTTTTCTGATGGAGCAGCGATCATTGCCATTCATTACGCTATCCTATTTCGTTTTAGCCGATTAGGTATTTGTGAAACAATTAGAACGATGTCAGTGAAATTCATAGATCATAATCGCTACAATGGTGAAAAATGAAAATACTAATAATGATTGGAGAAACCATCCTTAGACAAATAGATGAAAATTTAAATTTTTTGTGGTTAAGAGGATTAAATTTGCTCTGGGAGCGATGATGACAAGCGGCTGGGGCTGATCAAATCTTGAATCCATAGTATGCTGTAGCGATTACGAAATCGAGCACTTTTGGAGAATTATAGTCCGACAGGGTTGTAGTGAATATAAATACGAAGGCCCGCATTTAAATTCTTCGTGTAGAATCCGGAATCTGTACAATTCTGCCGGAGGATGTGACGAGGCTAATAAGTTGAGTAGGATATATCTGTTCCACAGCCATCATTATCTGGCTGTTTAAACTTAGATCATCATTATCAGCTGTAAGAACCTCGTACTTGTCGTACAATGGTTTTAGTTGGCACAATTTCGTCCACCGATGATTTACGGAGGTAGGTAGGTAGCTGCACATTGGAGGCGGGAGCTGATAAATTGGTGTGTAACTAAACGAACAGTTGTGATCAATTTAGCTTGACCTCTTACATGGTTATATATGTAAATTATGGACGAAACCGGTTTGATTTTTTAGGCAACACTACGCACCAATGGTATGTCGACGAACAGCACCCTCAACCACTTTTTATTAAGGTGGCTATATAACAGGCTACTTACTGGGAATATTGTCACCACAACATGGTCTAAATATCAGCCATTCAAGCCTCACGAAACAAAAATTTCTGCTTGAATGCTTGAAACATATTGGAATGCCCTATTTTAATGCTTTGATTAGTCTACGAAACCATCAACCGAATCGATATATTCTCAAATACGAAGTACCCCTTGTTGAAACGCTCCATTTTATTGAATCTACTCGTCTTTCTGATGCGTGAATTGCTACGTTTCGTTTATGGGCTGTCCGTCTCTTTTCAGGATCTTGGAGATTGAAGACCGAGCCTTGCTCAAGCTTCAGCTGGAAGCTTTACAAGAACGTGACTTGATACAACTCGTTCCGTTGGAAGGTAAAAACGTTGGTCAGCTTGGATTTCGGCGTAAGATCCATCTTCAAAACCAAGGTAGGAACTTTATTCTGTGTTTTCACCAATATAAGCCGGACGGGAAGCGAACCCGTACGATCGCTTACCCGACTAAGTGTTTTGTTATCCGCTTGCTTTGACGTCTACGAAAGGAACTTCTCAATGGCCGTCTATCTCACCTAAAAACAAGGATGTATTGCATTTTTCCTTGTTCCTCCTAGTGGCGAGAGTCCATCAAGTCGGTGGCTCCTTTTGTAGACTAATTTGTCAGATGCAACATGATAAGTCTCAATCACTTTGGTGCACAAATCCTTCATGATACGAGTGAATTTTTAGTCCTACTTATTTTGTACATGAAACAATTCAATGTATACCGGAATCCTTCCATACCTTCCTTGATACTGACGCCCAAGGTATCAAGAACCTGTCGTTTGCGGGACTGTCACCTTATTCATCAGCACGCTCCAGTTATCTAAATGGTTCAATGTTTCCATGTCTTTGCGCACGTCCAAAACTGTGCACCGTATCCTTTGCCTCTTCTCTCTGTTCCGATGTATTCAGTTCACCAGCTACAAATGCCGCCAGTAGAACATTAGTTCATGCAGGTGCACTTTCCCCGGTTGAAGATTATCACAGCTGGAGGCGACTAAAACGTTGTCAAGCCGTCTAAAAGCCGAATGATTTAGCCTGCATGGTACTGTGTGATTCCATTCCATAATGTTCACCGCTAGACAAAACATACCCGGACGAAGCGGCCTTCAGTTGTTGCTTTCAAGAAACCGCCATTCCTTCCCTGCCTCTCTAGAGTTATCAACGGCCATTCCACTTGGCCATTGATTGTTCTGCATTCTACTCGTAAACAAGCTAAGCCACTTCGCATCGAAGCACACGCTTTTACCATTGCCATCATAATAGCTAGTGACGATTCAGCGCTCTAGGGTATGATTTATGCAGTTCCGATAAAAGCGGCTGGATTATTGATCGGTTTTGGATTGTGAAATTGTTACCGAGCAAGGCTTTTACACGATTGAAAATGTTTACGAAACTCGCGCGTATTCTTCGTCCTACTGGTTCTGGAAATTTGTATGAAATTGACGTCACAGTTTTTATTCACAAATGTAGAGCAATTCGCAAAGTCGTATTCAAACAATTCGCTCTTCTGTGAGCTTGGAAACAACAAATGTTGTTCCCGTGCTCAGCGGTTGTCTCGTGCACCAACCCACAGCTACGTGACACTGATCGTGCTGTAATTCTCTTGGGTTTAGTGGGCATGGTCAGATCAATGTAATGATCTCTCGTTTGCCGAGCGAGCTCAGAACCACAGTAAGAGTGGCAATAACAAACGTCAGAACCAGATCCATTCCGCTCCTACAACTGGAGCTCTCATGGCGGACCGCAGCTTTTTGTCTCCTGAGGAGGTGACCATTGCCTACGAAAACTAGCGGTATAGTTCGATGCGATGTGCTAAAGTCTAATTAAGGTGTGTTAACTTGTTGCAGACTGTTACCACGCTTGTGTGAATCAGTTCTACTGCCTTCATTCATTATCCCTTCCAAATGAAAGTCTATTTGCCTTCCGTGCTTCATCATTCTACGTGGATTGATAAATTTGATGCTTGGCTTAGTCAGTATTCCCTCGTACTATCATCAAATTCGTGAACAAACGGAAATGGACAACCTAATGATACTCCGTTATCGAATGCTTCCTTGCTGAGAAACCAGAAGAAATGCGAGTGATGTTTGTAGTCTTATGCGGTTTATGTACGACAATCGTCCGTATAACTGGGTAACTTTTGTTCGGGACTGTACCTGTACTCTTCACAAAACTGTCCAGCTTACCTAGCCTGTGAAGTACTTGACATGCGGCTTTCTCTCCGGAGTTTCGTGTGTGTTTTGAAAAGTTACATTTTTCTTAGATCCCTATCGTGGATACCATCATTGTGTGGAAATAGCACCAGGTTTGTGCTATAAAACGACTGCACTACCCCGTCAGTCCACTGAACAATTTCTTATTTGTTTCTCACTTTCTTCTCGCCTTCATCCCCATCTGAAATCAGAGGTCAAAGAAGTCAAAGAGGCGGACCACATGAAACGGGTGTCGACATCGGAGAAGCCGACTATAGCCATAATAACGAATTTGCTTTGTGAGAAACTTGCTGTGGACGCAATGATCGAACAGAAAACCACCTTTGTACGCTATAAAACGGAAGGTGGTACGTTGTCCATTTGGACTTCATTCTTTTATGTAACTGGTGCCTGTTTGCAGCTAACAGCTAGAGACATGTTTGAAAGCATTCAAACTGGAGAGTGGCGAATCATCAGTATGCTCAAGCTGATTGGTCAGGCAATACCTCACCTGGAATATTCAAAGACGGTGATTAATCTCATTTGTACTTCCATCAACTTTTGCGAGCTTATTCGGGAACACGGACGAACCCAGTAGAAATGGGATCAAGTACTCATTGTAGTTTTATTCAGAAGAGATTCCCAAAGCAACCATTTTGATGCTAGAGCTATTAGCCTATTGCTAGCTTCTATGGCTCAAGTACGTGAGATGGAGATCCGAGAGCATCAAACAGGTAAAGGGGTGCAGCGGTTACACATGTCAGATGCTTGAGCAGCGCTATACCTACCAACGCTGTTTTCTTACTCTAAGGAAGCTTTTGACTCGTCAAATGGAAAGACTTCTCTATATATATACTTAGTGGTAGGGTGCAAACATATTTCATACTCTCTGGTCTGACACTTCGTGTAGTGTGAGGTTTTAAAGTTAACTGTTTAAAAGTTTTTCCCTCAGCTAGCGGGAATCATCAGCGTTTTCTCTCAATATTTTCGTTAGATCTTTCATTTCTAAAACCATGGAATGCATCTTCCAAGGATCCTAAAATCTAGGAGTCGATATCCTAACACTTGGAAAAGTTTTTCCTCAGCTAGCGGGAATCATCAGCGTTTGCTCTCAATATTTTCGTTAGATCTTTCATTTCTAAAACCATGGAATGCATCTTCCAAGGATCCTAAAATCTAGGAGTCGATATCCTAACACTTGGAAAAGTCTTCGTATTTGAGCTATGCAGACGACACTGCTCTACTCAGCCAACCAGACCCATGAAGACCAATCGCAAGTCAAGAGTAAATCACTCAGGGTGAAGAGAATAGCCGCTCAAAAATGGGGTATGTAACCAACCAGCCTAACAACAGCAGGTCTGCCTTTAATGCAACGCAGAACGCAATCAGTTCAGGTAACGCTGAACAGCAACAATAATTTGTGGTGGACTAATCGGGCGCAACACAGATCGTGGACTGGCCAAACAGGTTCCAAGTGAGATGAATTATGAACGGTCAATAAGCTAACAGCTTCAGGATACTCTTTGGAAATTGTGTCAGCGCAAGTACGAAGATATGAACTACCTAGTCAACCACGCACTGATAAAATCCTCAGGGTGAAATAGCCGCTCAAAAATGGGGTATGTAACCAACCAGCCTAACAACAGCAGGTCTGCCTTTAATGCAACGCAGAACGCAATCAGTTCAGGTAACGCTGAACAGCAACAATAATTTGTGGTGGACTAATCGGGCGCAACACAGATCGTGGACTGGCCAAACAGGTTCCAAGTGAGATGAATTATGAACGGTCAATAAGCTAACAGCTTCAGGATACTCTTTGGAAATTGTGTCAGCACAAGTACGAAGAGATGAACTACCTAGTGAACCACGCACTGATAAAATCTCCGATGGTGAAAACGCCAGGGAACAATTGCTTTGTTCGACGAACAGATCTACAGCCACCTAATCAACTACAAACTTTACTATTCGACAGTTACTAGTCCACACAGTCTACTTCAAATATGAAGTCAAAAGTAGTTTTGCGTAACTAAAGTACAAAGCCCCGCTTTAGAACTTTCACTCTCCATGTGTCCCTTCAGAAGCTCAATAGGAGGGGCTCAAGACTGTCGATTGGGCTTTGTGTCTTGGCAGTTGCACGAGCCGCGATCATAATTTGGCAGATGATATCTACGCGCTTTGTCAAAATACAAGCAATATTTCCTAATCTGCGTCGCTCCTGGCGTCAAAGACAAGTAATACTGAAACTGAATAACTGTTTATGCGAGACAACCTTAACAAGTCTTAGTTTGCAGTTGCGCAGGTTGGTCCATTGGATCTATATATATCAGACGTCTCCGGCATCGCTGGCTGCAACGTTTGCGCAACGAAGTAGCGTGTAAGGGATTGCTTAGTGATGAAATCGAATCACTAAAGCATTACACACGTACTACGCATACCCAGCTAGTGTCTACAAAGAGCGCACAGATTTCGCTGCTACTGGCTGCACTGACTGATGATTCGCGGAGGACAAGTAGTAACATGGCAATGCGAAATGAAATCTACATTCGGCATTATTGAATCTCTGAGTCCTCCTAGGTGCGGTCCACATGATTTCTCTAGCGCATGACTAAAAAACATACAGGACGTGGCACGCAACTGATCCCAGTGGCGAAAATGTGCTCATCTAATTGGAGTGCCTAGGTTGTTGTCTCTGTCGTGCGCAGGGCTTGTGTAACGTTCACACCTTTAGGTGAATCTCCTGGATAGCGTCTTACTCTGACGTAATGTTCATTTGTGTTTCTCGTTGCCGTTTTAAACGGAACGAGCCCTGTCTTTGATTATTTAAAAAAGTGAGGATTTTTGCACTGGCTTCTGTACTTCCCTTTTCACTGTTTACTCGGGCGCATTTAGGCATCGCTATTTACTTCTGGTTTTTCGCCCTTAGTGATAATGATGGTGAAGCAACTCCTCAATTAAGCCACTTATCGGGTCATTGTGTTTTTTCCTGCAAGTTTCCTTTTTGCAGCAGTTACCCATCCCAATTTTTTCTTGAATAAAACGATTATCAATTTCAATCTCAACTTGTTTAAAACCAGTCGACATCTCACTTTCCTTGCCTGCCATTTTTACCCAACACAAACGACGGCGTTCCAGACAGCAATTGTCCATAGTTTTCTGCGATCTCATTACAGGTGAATCCAATGTCTACACCATTGGAAACATCGGTCCTCATCGTGTCATCTCCACGAAGCTAGCAATGGTTGGAAGAGAGCTCCAAGCAAAAATATCCTCGGCCAGCATTACCACACGTCTTTTGGGTAGGTTATCATCAAGTTCATTTGAGTCATCTTACCACGTGCCGTTGTTTATCAAAGACCTGTTTTGTGAGCTGTTTCTGTTGATGCTCATTCCCCATTGGTCCACTTTACCACCACTTTATCGTAATCCGTCGCTTTCACATATGTTTCCAGGTGCATTCCAGACGGTACAACATGTGTTCCTAGTCGGTGTGGGTGGTAGCGTGCCACATGTGTACGAGTTCGAGAAACATTCGAGGCTCGGAGATGTTGTTGTCAGTGCCCCAGTCCGGTCGTCGAACGGCCGCAGTCCCATGGGAAACGGAACTCATTCATCTGTTTGCCCTCTGGATGTGAACAAGCCGGGCGACCCGGTCTACATCTATTGTGATCATTTGATCGAACGCGACCCAAAAACACCGAAATCCACTCCATTCAAATTCGTACTCAAGCGATACGAAATTAGGGACTCAACTTTGTTGAATTGTGTTGATCGGGTGTTGGACCGTTTTGAATCCGACCCGAGCAACTGTCAATGGGCTCAGATTCTAACCTCATGCACAAATGCTGTGGGTGAACATGAATGTTCCGTCAACTTCAGTCGACCTCCTCCAGAAACGGATAAACTCAAATTGAAGGTATTTCCAACTTCTGATCAGCGTCATTTTTGCAATTCCATACTTTTTAGTGCGATTCCACAGTGAGTTATTGGTTTAAACCGGCTCACCGTAACATGTGGTTGCTAAGCTTCTGTTAGAGAAGTCTCATGTATGCCAAAGCTAAGCGAGTTCACTGTTCACCAATAAGATCTTGTACGTTAGCATGTGTTATACCGTATTTGAGTTTACCCACGGGTCATGCAGTTGACAAATGTTTTCCTTCAACCCTACTGTTACATCTTGCCTCCATCGCTGTTCAGACGAACCCAATTCCTTGAACATAAGCAAACCATTCAGAAGAGACGAAACATGTTTTCGTCAAACTGATTTTCGTGTTATATATTCATTGGGATCCACACGCCGTGGGCACTACAAAAATACTCATTTGGTTCAGCCATTACGTCAACAACAAGTAGTCATTCCCGTAAAAAGCTCGTTCTCAGCCTTGCACCACTCAGCACTTACTTTCCAAAACCTTAAAGGGTGTACGACAGTAACTTTTATCGTCCAAGTCAAGTCAAGCTAGGCTTTCTAGACTTTCTAGTCTTCTCCCTGTGAACGGATTTAATAGGATAGTAAAAACAATGAATACTACTCAAAGTGTTGATAGTTAGCTAAGAAATTACAGAGCACTCGTTTTAAGGTTGGGCAGAATCTCCACGGCACGCACATTCGACGCCATTATGTCAAGCATAGGCCGCGAGAAACTATGTACCAAGTAGAAGTTGCTCGTATCAACTCTTTATTGATTCCATTGGCAGCACTTTAGTAGGTGGGAGGTATGTGTTCGAAGGCGAACTCTGAGGAAATAGCTTTTTTCAAGTGGTTCTATATACGGATCTTACAAAACCCGGTACGTTTGTATTGCAAGCAGTTGTTGACGCTAATTTACGCATGTTACCATTGCCGTATTCCTCAACAGTGTTGTACAACGACGCCCACAAAGAACATCATGGGGATGATGCGTATTTGATCTCTCCCAGCAGGGGGCTTGTACTCGTGGAAGTCTCTTGATAAGGAGCAATTTGACAAATTTCACCTTTCCCAGGCCTTGCGGCATGGTACGGTAGCTTCGGTTATTTGAGAATAGATTTCTCCTGGTCATATCTCGGAAACAGGCTTCAGTGAATTCTGAACGAGGTTATTAGAATCAGAGCTTCCGATTCCACAGTGAGCGGTCAAGACGTTGGATTCATTCGTCGACGTAAAGTTTGTTAGATTTTTTACTTGCCACCAGCGTAGCACATGCCGAGAGAGTGGCAACCAGCAACTTGATTGAAATGCGTGTAGATCGTCCAACCACGGTCATACAACTCACCTTCCGAGGTGAAAACTCTTGTGATCCTCATCTTTCTCGTTATTTGTTAATTCAAGTTGTTGCCGTCGGCTGACGTCAGCGGCGTCCTTGTTGTTAGTTCTTACTCGGCTCATTTGACCGAATGTTTACAGGTTTGATACCTCCAATTGTTTGTTTTCAACTAGGTTCCCTTTTCTTCCTTCCGTTCTTTTCAGATTATATGACTGTATGGCACCAGTCATTCTCACTACACTTAAATAGGTAGCTGATTTGTCGCATTCTGTGGTATGCATCGTTCCTCGCCAGGGTGTGTATGAATTCATTCCACCTTGTGGATAAGCTAGGTAGTCTTACTTAAGACATTTTGTTCTGTTGTCATCAGTACCGCTAGTAACGATGGTGAACCAACCCGTCTATCGGAATTTAAAAGTCCACAAAAAGACCACGAATGTTTTAGCCGGTTGTTCCTTTGGTATCATTGCGCTTACTGACACTTGGCGTCCAGGCCGAAGATTACCAAATATATGTCAGTATCTGTCACTGACTTTCAGCCTTTTTCTTTTTCTTGTCACCTCTTCAAAATTCACAATGACAGAAAATTTTCATGTTTTTGAGGACACCGTGTGTGAGCGTTTGCGTCTAGCACAAGTTTACCGAAGCTGTTATCCTCTCTGCCTATATTCTGTCCCTCATTCGCAGATAGATGAAGGTGTACGGGTAGACATAAAACACCCGGAAATTCCGGAGGATTTGGAACGATTTTATCCACCCGGCATCCCGGCCGTTCGACTGGGTTGTTTTGGATCAGGACGACCAATCACGGACAACGACAAGTTGCGCGATTTCTTTGCAAAAGAACACCAGTTGCTATCTTACGACTCTGAATACGATCAAGTGGGTTTTGCATATTGACCGAATTTTTTCGCTTCATTATTATTCTCCCTATAGGATGTAAACGAAAGCAAGCGTTATATCTATAGCTTTTCCCACTCTTATGCGACCTAGCCTGAAGAAGAGTCGTTTGGATGAGGTACAGTACGGTTTGTCAGCGTTGATAATGAAAGACTCGACTCACCTGTTCGGTTATCTTACTTTTTCGACTATCTACAGAAGGCTTTTTGGACTAAGGACCACTAATGTCCAACTATAGCTCTTGTTTGAACGATATTTGGTAACATCGTCTCCTCCTATTGTGTAGACTGTCAACACGTGCCCTTCTCTTTGGTGGACCCTCTGGGTCCAACGTATACCCCCACCTCAGAGAAATGCTTTAAGTTCTTTGTGCAGTCGAGTAGGAATGTGAACGATCTCAGTTATGCATTTTCGCTGGGCTTTTGGACAATCGTTGTGGTCTTCGGGTATAAGTGTTGTGAAATGGTGACCTACATTATTTATCCACTGATGGCTTGCACCGTTAAAATGCACATAAACGTTATTTGCGTGATCCAGCGGTTTCGAACTCGTGTTTAGTTGCCTGACTTCACCTCCAACGTAGCAACACAAGACAATGGAAAGGTAACTTTTAGGCATAACGATGTAAACGGGTAAGTGAATCTTCGTTCTGTTCAAGTGCTTCTCGAAATGCTCCGCACAGAGCCCTACCCATCTATCTAGGCTGCTTATTTCAGTAATGGCTCCAGTGCTGCCAACGTGCATTACAGTGGCACCCAAACCCATTTAAGGTGCACTTTGGGTCCAGCAAGTTTCTCTACCTTTCTGATGTATCGAACGATGGTTTTATGAGCAAGATTGTTTTGACTAACCAAGCCTATTTCAACGGGGTTCGAGGATCGTAAAGGAATTGGGGAGATGGAGTGGTTATATGGTTATCGGACGCCAAGTCATAAAACGACCCTTGTGTACAGTAGCGCGTGATTTGTACTTTAAATCGATCGGCATTCTTGCACGAATATTTTTCACCGGAAACTGATCGTAATGTGATCGGTCCGGGTCCACGGCCGAGTAGCCGTGGAGTCCATCATTTAGCTGGGTAGCCGGTTGCCCGCGCAGAAGTAGTCAAGATTCCAACCGTTTAAACTTCCCTCGTCTGTGCTACCTGTGCATTCATTCGACCAGTATTACTGCGTCTCCTGACTTCTTCAACATTTTGTTCGATCGCTGGTTAAAGTCATTTTTTATCACGGGTGCTAATTGCATTTGGAAACAACGGCAGGTTATCTGCATTAGTACCCGCGGATTCAAAGCCTCAACTAAATCCTGAAGCTTTACTGTTAACAGGATATCAGTCAGGTAAGACGGGTTCTGTAGTTGTGCGAAATTCAATATCCACGCCAGACTACTTGACTGAAGCAGCAATTCAGTTGCCTTGAATATCGATGCCTTGTTTCACTTAGACAATAAACAGTTATTTGGCGAAGCGTCTTTGAAGCAGCTCAAGATAGCTCAGTGGCGCACACTTATTGGCACGAAGGTCCGTGGTTCGAACCCGACCTCTGTATCTGGACGATTCCTGTCTAGGCTTGAGAAATCTGACTGTCTCTCGGCCCTCGTACTACCTTAGAACGAAGTGCATTTGGAAACAACGGCAGGTTATCTGCATTAGTACCCGCGGATTCAAAGCCTCAACTAAATCCTGAAGCTTTACTGTTAACAGGATATCAGTCAGGTAAGACGGGTTCTGTTGTTGTGCGAAATTCAATATCCACGCCAGACTACTTGACTGAAGCAGCAATTCAGTTGCCTTGAATATCGATGCCTTGTTTCACTTAGACAACAAACAGTTATTTGGCGAAGCGTCTTTGAAGCAGCTCAAGGTAGCTCAGTGGCGCACACTTATTGGCACGAAGGTCCGTGGTTCGATTCGAACCCGTGTATCTGGACGATTCCTGTCTAGGCTTGAGAAATCTGACTGTCTCTCGGCCCTCGTACTACCTTAGAACGGCCTGATGTTAGGCACCGAAAGAATGTTACAGCTGGATGATCATTTATTAGTACTACTCAGATTACATCAGTAAACGTACTTTGAAAGCAGCAAGACTGTAGAGGGGACGAGGATGCAGATTGGTGTTGTTAGTTATAGTGGGTGACTGACATTGTAAGTTGTGGCCACCTGTCGAAAGGGACACAGGTTGAATCACCAAATGAATGCTGAGTATTTCTAGAGCGCCTGAATGAAAGCGTACGATGAGGTGATGGGCCGTGAACCGCATTGAGGGTGGGGAACGCGTATCAGAGTGGTGAGCCAATGGTGCCAGTTCATAATATTCCGGATCCTTATCACTTCTACTGTGTAAGACAACTTGTAATTTTTAGGGTTGTGTTTAGTGCGTGCACAAAGGCAGAATACATCCCCGATGATTAGAACAAGAACGGGATCTGGCTCACGGGAATCTTTTCGGACTTATCGGTTCGCATTGGTCCGATTCATGGGGCAGAGGGGCGTATTGTGGGATTCATATTTCATCGAAACTCGATTATTGTTCCCAGTTCATACGTTCTACAACTAGATGTGATTTTTTCAGGATACCCGTCACATCCCTGTCGGACGTCCGTTGAGCCCTAATTCATAGAATCTCTCAGCTTCGGGTATCACTTCGTCAGATGCTTCATGTGCCATCGGTTTGACCTGCAATGGTCTATTAGCCTGATTAAAACATTACGAGCACTCACTTTATTCCTTCACTTTTGTGGAAGCGCCTTTTCCTGAGAAGGCAGTGAATAGGGCTTCTCGAATAGAGGCCACGTGAGTGACGGTTCCTTGACTGAGAAACAGTCAAGCGACAGATCTACATATGCGTCAATTTGATTGACAGTTCACGTTGGTAAGAACGGGTTTGGTGCTAACTTTGTGAACAACTGATTGGTTTCAACTCTGTATACCGCCCCGTCAGCAAGTTTGCTCTAATATAAATACCGAATTTCTGTCACTCCCTTGCGAATATTCCGTGCAATTGACCAACTAAATACAAATAGCATCTACTGTCCATCTGTGGTGAGTTTTGGTCAGTTGGTTGTCCTATTTGAGTTTTTGTGCTTACTCATTTTCTGCTTCCAGTTCGTATGCTTCCCATTGGAGTTTGTATTAACTAAACCAAATTTTTTCGTCCTACGCTTCACCTTCCTATGCACTACTCCCATTTCCAGGTCCTGGAGTCTGTATTGGGCAACGGATTGAATTCATTCCTCATCATTCGTGGAATGGCGGATTATGTAGAAGGAAGACAAGACACCCAATGGCAACCGTATGCAGCACTTGCCGCAGCCTCGTTTATGAAGGCGGTTATCCTCGAGCTTCCTTCGTCTTATAGCCCATAGTTAGGCACAGTTCATTTGCTATCGCCTTTATTTTTTTGTTTTCGGCTCCGCTATTTGCCAAAGACATGGATGTTCAACCTCATTTCCCCACCGTTTATATGTTACTCGTTTGCTCACCATGTTGGACTATTACTAGTAGTATGTACAGCCTTATTCACCCGTTCACAATCAACAACTTTACCTAACTTACAATAACACTTTTGGCCTCATTTCATTTGATTTTGTTTTCCCTCTCCCCATCATTCTATCGCAACCCGAGTGCAACTTGTGGGAATTCCCGGTTCTTCTTTTCTTTCGACCGATTGACTATTTTATACGTTTCAATCCAATAGCAAATTTCGCCATGCTTGTTCACTCTCGGATTTGCACAAATTAAGATGGAAGTTGTCCCGTTCATTCCTATTCCATCTGAATCTCACGGAACTAAATCGGTCGCTGTTAGGTTAATACTTATTCGTTTATACATTTTTGGGGTAAAACCTGTGAAAGGCTGGTTGCTTCGGCATTATTCAGGGTACCTGGTGATTTATTTCAGGTCAAATTCTGTACTATTCACCACCACCCTCCATGCCTGCAAGGGCCTCTAAGGAGTTTCAGTTTTGACCGTCAACCGATTCAACTGACCGTCTGGCTACTCGTAAGTAGTCCGAATTTTTCCTTACTAACCGTCGACTTTCACATGGAACCGGATATTGGCGAAGTCGAGATCGGATTTCGACCTGCGTTTATGGAAATGTGGTCGACAGTTCTTCAGCATCGTAATAAGCTAGCCGACCTAGTTCCGAATTTTCTGGTTTACAACTCAGAAACATTCATTTAGATATTAACACCTTAGGGAACGGATACCGTTATTTCCTTTCCCGCCGAACTCTTTCTCGGTACCCCACCTGTACAAAATAGCAAAATGTACTTTGTGTACAGTGACTTTCAACATATACTCTGGGTTCTAAACGATTTTCGAAACTGACATCCAGGTCAATCGGATCTCACAAAATTATCGGTATTCCGATGAGCAGATTGCTTCGAAACGGGCCACCTGACGAGCCATTAAACATCGTACAGGGAAGTTTTTGTTGCCGATGATGTACTGCTTTAGGTTGTACAGGCTAGGTAGGTATTTCAGTGCCACACTTTCCATATGGCTTCGTTGGGGTCTATTCAGAGTGAAGACGATCAGGATTGATGCAGCCGGTTCATTGCCACCGTCCCACTCACTCATGCAACACATGGGGTCCTCTGGAGTTCGTGAAGTTGTCTGATGAGAGAAGCATAGACTCGCATGCTCAAAGCAGCCATGAATGTTTGCCATGTGATTTTGATGGCACAGTAACACCAAGGTTTGGGCCTGTCTACCAATACCCCCAAATTTGTTCAGATCTGGCCATATAAAGTTCGGAAAGCCACTTAGTAGTATTGAGTAGCTAGTTATACAGTGCTCATTGACCCATACCTACCAGCACAAATTCGCACACCCTCATCTAGGCACCTCTTTTAAAACCTGCGATATGATTTTATTCATGCATTACCCTATCGAAACTCCCGCTTTTGCACTTGTTGTGATTCACGCTTGTTTACTAGGGAGAATTTTTCTGAAGATCTTTGCTCCGGACCTCACGTATTTCGATTAGGGTACTCCATGTGTTTGACTTTGTTGTTTCTCATTGGGATGAACGACTATTTTGGATCGTTTCTGATATCATTTGTTTTTCGGTGAACGTGACCGAGTCATGTTTTGTGACAGACATTTGCTGGAACTCGTCGCAACTGGCGACCTCAAGAACGGTTGCTCTCGTCACCTGGCTGTCCAACACATTTTTAGTGAGATTATCCTAGGAAGATTCCAGGTAGCTTTTGACGCTTGTCCGGTTGCAATTTCACTGATTTATATACATGAAGTATGCAGACAACATAGCTGTTCTTGGATCGGACTGCATGCGAGAGAAAAACAGTATATAGTCACCTGTAGTTCCGTTGTACTGTTTGGTGTACCCTTCAGTTGCATACGTCAAAAATCAATCCGCGCACGAACTGAACGTGTTCCGAATGACACGGTCAAAATTTTGAGCTTCTGCCTGTATTATTCATCAGTGAACCGGACCGACAAAGTTTATGACCGATTGTGATCGGGGTGAGGTTCGCACTTTGGTATCTGCTGACACAGAATGAACGCTTTAGGTCAGGCCTTTCTAAATCTTACCAATTAGATATAGGTCTCTAATCCGGATGAAAAATAGAGCCGATGGGCAATTTTCTCATTCAGTTGGTTTTATCGCAAAAGAAATGAAACTAAACGAGGATGACTTCATGAAGAATCGAACCCTTGAGTTTCTGTCGACAACAATAAATAACGTTCAAGCGAAATACTCATTTGCATACCAATTTGGTTTTTGACGGTAGACTCACCTGGGACTCAGCTGACTCTCAATCGTTTTATACCCAAAACATCACGCCTCTGTTTCATTCCCTCCAAAACGATTTTTCGTTTCCGCGTTACTAAGTAATGTTCAACTGTAGTTCTTCGTGCTGTCTTCGTCGGTGTGACGAACCAAATTGCTTTTATCTACAGTGCTGAATGCATAAACTTGACTTGATTAGTTTCAACGATATCATGGCTTTCACGTCCCACAATTCCTTTGAACTTCCACTCCCCGGTTGATAACTTGCACTGCGGTGTTTGGCGAAAAAGCCTCAAGTAAGTGAGACTCGGTTACTTGTGAATTATCTTGTTTAATGGCTGTATTAGTTGTAAATTGTGATGGTTGGATAACATCGTCTTAGGGATGACTGGATTGGAGCAAATAGACAATATTTCGATGGCATAATTTACTACACTTCAGTCGTGTTCTCGAATATACGTTCAATGGTTCATTATGGGGAAAGGAAGCTGAGTTGAGTGACAACGGGTGAACACAGGGGGAAAATGTACAAAGAAGGTTGCATTAGAAACCCTTTCTGCTGAAGCTCACAGATGGACAGAAGCGGAGATGGTGTTACCATCAGCGATTGTATGCCGTTACTAGACCGTAAATCTGTATGTATAAAAATTATCCACATTAACATTTTGAAACTGTCATCTGCGTTGTCGTTCCGAGCATTAAATCCGGTCTGCGGGTAGGACATCCAGGCAAGTTAACGAATGAAGTGATAAAATATCTCGTGGTCGACGTATTACTGTTGTGCTAATGAGGAATTAATCCTATTGTGTAGATGTAAGCAAAACGTTTGCGTGGATGTAACCAGATTTGAACATCCGGTGCATTTAACTAAACCCAATCAAAGTCAGGTAAAAGGTGTATCGAAACGATGTATTCTGATGTTACATTGAAAACTAAGTGATATCTGACGACTGGTGAAAATCCGCAGACAGCCTGAAATCCAGTTCGAAACGGTTGGGGAGTCAGAGTAGTCCTCTCATACCACGTATACTGCAGCGTCTGAAGATCGCATCTGTGCTACATAGGCAAAGGAATATCTGTTCGCTTCTTACTGCGAGAGACTGCGGAATCTGCACTGTGAACTATTCCACTGTGCATGTGCGCTTTAAAGGCTACATTAAAACGGTTGCTAATATCGTAACCTAGACAGAAACGCCGTTGTCTTGAAATAAATCGCTGTCTTTAATGGGTGTCAGCTGTATTTCCAAAAACCATCGTTCTGAAATGCTTAGTCCACTTTGAGGTAAGAACAGTTCACGTGATATCAGGTGTTGTCGGTCCTTCGAGTAAATACTGGCCAATAAGGGTAGTTTGACTTTACCTTTCCAGTTGTGGAGAAAATCAGCCTATTAGGAAGCTGAAATTTTGTACTGTGTGGTTTATTTGAGCTGTTTCTGTCCATAGTATCGCATGAGAAAAATTCCATCTGGTCATCGTACACTACTATTTGACATTAAAGTAGTGCAAAATACGGCAAGAGAGCTGACGATGTACCTCGCGAAGTCGACAGGTGAAATTTCCAAACTCCCAGGTATACCACTTTTAATCTGTGCCTTTGAAATCACTGCACTTGATTGGGTTAACAAGAGGGGTTCATCTTGGATTGATTGATATTCTGTGATCTGGCCTCATTCATCTCGTTTGCATGCATACAAATGTCAGTGCGAGCAAGCAAATAAGTGAAATAACAGCGGTGCGGAGTGTAATCAAAGGTAACGTGACCCAGAGCCACAAGCCCAATCCAAGTCGCTTCACTTTTTGTTGCGTCATTGTGTGAATGTGAATATCGATCTGAATAATAGGGACTACCGTAGCTGAGTCGTGACGAACAGGGGAGGTTACCATGGTGTGACGGTTTGTGTGACTCCGTGACCCGCTGAGCTATACTGGATGATGTCCGTGGGACACCCACAGGATATCTAATACAGTTTTGGTCACCTGGTAGAGGCCTGACGAACACAGTCATCTAGTCCTCCAGGTTGGATGTCAGAACATTGTGGTGACTTGTTCTACTAACAAACGCCAAACACCATTCTGCCTTGCGGTCAGGCTTTTGAGCCAAAGGCTGTGCACGAAAACATTATCCTCCTGTCCTGGTCTGGGCTTCCTTGTAGCATCCCAGCCCATGTACAACCAAGACGCTTACAACTAAAAATGCTCTCATGCCGGATCGGCCGTCACGTGGTACCATCAGCCTTAACTGCTGCATACAACCGGGCGGATAAACGAAAACAGGCTACTGCTGACGCCTTCCTTCTTCCTCTTTCCTACAGTTCCCCCCTCCTCCAACTCCATTACTGACTCTGCTTCTGAGCTCATTAATTGGGACTGATGACTCCGTTTGTAGTGCATCGGTTTTGCAAGCAAAATCTGCGCATCATCCGGCGCTGACCTCAAGCACTCCAAGAAGTCAGTTTATCTGGCCGTTTTCACTGGTCGAACTCCGAATCAAGCGGGATAACAACCTGCTCTTGCTTTCACTTGACACTGATGTATGCTGTGAATCAAATCAAGAATTCAGTATTCAAGCACAGTGGCTGAGCTGACCGTCCCCTCACTCTCCACTCGATTCCGGCTACGTACCTCTAGCGATCCGCGAATTGCCTGGGTGTTGGTTTCATTTGAAGTCATCGGGAGAAGGAATCGCTGCTTGAATGAATACCCATTATTAGCCGCCTGTGTGCGGTTTGTCTGGCGAATTCCGTGAAGAAATCTCACAGGTGGGACGCTAAAAGCTGTCTATTTGTCATGTCTGCCTATGCCCCGACAGACTACAGCTCTAGCACCATCTAAGACAGGTGTTATTTTGCCTTGGGTGCCCTGTTGCGGCCAGATACCATTTTGTTTGCCAGTGATCCGAATGAATATGTAAGCAGACATGACCGAAGTCGTCTGGCCACAGCGCTGAGCTATACTGGATGATGTCCGTGGGACACCCACAGGATATCTAATACAGTTTTGGTCACCTGGTAGAGGCCTGACGAACACAGTCATCTAGTCCTCCAGGTTGGATGTCAGAACATTGTGGTGACTTGTTCTACTAACAAACGCCAAACACCATTCTGCCTTGCGGTCAGGCTTTTGAGCCAAAGGCTGTGCACGAAAACATTAATTATCCTCCTGTCCTGGTCTGGGCTTGATTGTAGCATCCCAGCCCATGTACAACCAAGACGCTTACAACTAAAAATGCTCTCATGCCGGATCGGCCGTCACGTGGTACCATCAGCCTTAACTGCTGCATACAACCGGGCGGATAAACGAAAACAGGCTACTGCTGACGCCTTCCTTCTTCCTCTTTCCTACAGTTCCCCCCTCCTCCTACTCCATTACTGACTCTGCTTCTGAGCTCATTAATTGGGACTGATGACTCCGTTTGTAGTGCATCGGTTTTGCAAGCAAAATCTGCGCATCATCCGGCGCTGACCTCAAGCACTCCAAGAAGTCAGTTTATCTGGCCGTTTTCACTGGTCGAACTCCGAATCAAGCGGGATAACAACCTGCTCTTGCTTTCACTTGACACTGATGTATGCTGTGAATCAAATCAAGAATTCAGTATTCAAGCACAGTGGCTGAGCTGACCGTCCCCTCACTCTCCACTCGATTCCGGCTACGTACCTCTAGCGATCCGCGAATTGCCTGGGTGTTGGTTTCATTTGAAGTCATCGGGAGAAGGAATCGCTGCTTGAATGAATACCCATTATTAGCCGCCTGTGTGCGGTTTGTCTGGCGAATTCCGTGAAGAAATCTCACAGGTGGGACGCTAAAAGCTGTCTATTTGTCATGTCTGCCTATGCCCCGACAGACTACAGCTCTAGCACCATCTAAGACAGGTGTTATTTTGCCTTGGGTGCCCTGTTGCGGCCAGATACCATTT